TCCTCATAGGGTTTGTTCTCCAGACCCTTGATCATTTTAGTCGCCCTCCTCTGGACAACTATCTCTCTTGAATTGTGTTACCCAGAATTGGACACAATATTCCAGGTGTGGTCTAACCAAAGCGGAATAGAGGGGTAGCATTACTTCCCTAGATCTAGACACTATGCTCCTATTGATGCAGGCCAAAATTCCATTGGCTTTTTTTGCTGCCACATCACATTGTTGGCTCATGTTTAACTTGTTGTCCACGAGGACTCCAAGATCTTTTTCACACATACTGCTCTCGAGCCACTGTATTTAGTGCAATTTGACACCACTTAACTGCCATGGGTTAATACTATGGAATCATGGGAGTTATGGTTTGGCAAGGTCTCTAGCCTTGGTCAGAGTGCTGGTGCCCCACCTGCCAGGATTCCATGGTATTGAACCAGGGCAGTAAAAATGATGTCAAACTGCATTAATTCTACAGTGGAGATACATCCTCTCAAGAGGACCTGATGCTATGAGAGGTGAAAAGTGGGGGGAAGCATCTACTTTACCATAGCATTTTATTCTGGTGTGTTTATAAGGAAAAAGAATAATATATTTACCCCCATCACGCATGATGTACTTTTGTCTATTTCAACAGTAATCCTCTTGTGTTTTGAGCTATCACACACAGATGAGTGTAGTACCTGCCTATTTTGCATTCTTCCTTTAATTAAAAAAGGGGAAATCTCAGATTGGCAAAAGCCCAAAACCTAAGTTTTAAAGGGGAGAGGGAATATAGCTATAGCAAACTGGTAATATATCAAAATTGTGCAATTCCTGAAGAATAAATTATTTTTAAAAACCATAAAAGTTTTTAATGCAAGAGGATTAATGTTGAGAAAAGGAACATCAAGACACATTTTGAGATCTCCCACAAGAATGCCCACACTTTGATATCACTAAAACTAATATGGGGAATCTGAAGTTACCATCCCGTGTTAAAATATAGCGCCTTTAGCCATTTCTGTGCGAATCAGGAGCTTTAAAAACGATTCCTCCCTAACTCTAAAACCTCAGTTTCTACACAGTTGGAAAACAGTTTAGAGATGGAGTCCCATAGGGAACCGCTGGGAGTAGTCTTGTGTCATATAATGGGCTCTGTGGGACCCTGTCTTTAAACTTTAAAGTGTGTAGAAAGGGGGGATTGGGGGATGGGATGGGGTTGGACCATGCATCTGATGAGGTCCTAAGCCTATGAAAAAATCTGCCCAGTGATAGTATTGAGCCTCCTAGAAGTCCAAACAGCAGGACGAGGCTTGGAAAAACTCTACAGATATGTTGAAGTTAAGGCCAAGTAAGGTGGAAGTTCTACCCTGAATGGTAACACCTGCTGCAGCTATTGGGCACAGTTTACCACCTGCTTGACTCCTGAAACATGTTCCCTCTCGGCCTATCACCCTCTGTTTCTGTATCAATGTATTGCCTGGTTAGTAGGGTTTATCCAAATTCTGAACTAACAGCACTTGTGCCTGCTTCTATAATATTGGGCCAACACACATTTTTGTATCACAAATGTTAGAACTGTTTCTGGATACATTTGATACGCTGACTCCAGACATGGCACCAGGTTCTCCCTATCAGCTCAAGATTTTGGAATACAGAACATATGCCATATATCAGTCTTCCTCTGCTCATTCATAGAAAATCATGATAACCACCTCTAAGAAACTAGAGTTGATGTGGTCTATACAAGGCAATTTTCTGAATCAGTGCCATAAATAACCTCAGGAACAAGTCTAAAAATGAAGACACCAGGAAAATAAAATATTTTTGGTTGGGCTGTGTAAATCAGTTGATCATGGAGAATTTTCATCCTGCTTCCCAACCATTGTTATCCTGTCTCGATGACATCATAAACATGATGATGTCATATGGGATCCCTTAGACTCTGGGCTTTAACATCTTGGGGTGCTGATTTGGCAACCATAAACGAAAAGTAGGAAAATCCAAGGGAGAACAGAATTACTGCCTTCCACCTTGCATTTACATCTCCCCCATCTGTCCCTCCAAGCTGGCTTTTAGTGTTGCCAGATTGAAAATTGGAGAAGGCTCTTGCATCTTTAATGCTTGTGTAGAAGAGGGAATTTCAGCAGACATTGATTCTTATTTGGTTGTGTGACAGGTAACAGCAGCTGAAATTCCCTATTTCACACAGTCATTAAAGGTACAGGAGTCCTTTCTACTTTTCACTCTGGCAGTCCTCGTTATCACTGAGGTAATGTAGAAATAAATTTGTAATTAAAACCAAAGCAATAAAAAGACTTGCAAATTTTAAAAAGACTAGTCAATGAAATATCAGTGACAGTAAATCGAGTCACACCAGTCAGCCAATACTTGTTTAAACATATGATTGAAGGAAATTGACTTCTCTAAGGCCAACCATAGAGAAGAAATGTTCTTTCTTGTTTTGGGCCAACCAAAAAACTTGATCAAATCAAAAAAAAAGGGAGAGGGAAAATATAAGGGGGTCTATAGGGAAGGGATAAAAAGTATGAAGTGAATCAGATGATGAGATACACTTACAACTTCATCAGACGGGGTGAAATCTGCGCCGGTTCACCTATCCTTTTAGAATGGAGTCTACCAACTCCCACAATGTACTACAACTTCCAACTGGGCTCTGTCATAAAAGGGAAGGCAAACCAGCGCATGCTGCTATACCTTTCTGTGTTGCCTTGGATCAAGGGGGGGGGGAAGCAGGGAGGTGGACACTTCCCCCCATGAGATGGGGATTCGGGTCAGTCAGGTGATGCGGGGCATGGGGTGACAGGTTCCCCACGCCCTGGATAGGCACCACTGGAATTGCTATGATTTGTGGTGATTCTGGGAACATATTTATTTATTTACTTACTTCATTTCTACTCCGCATTTCTTGACCCGAGAGGGGACTCAAGATGGCTTACAAATCCAGCAAAAATTCAATGCCACACAGGTAAACAATAAAATATGATGAGATCGCTTCTTTGAACATTCAGTCTGGAAACTGCAGAAAGCACTGCAACCTTCAGTGAGGTCTGGGGAGTTCCAGTGAAAGGATGGATAAAAGTAAACATAGCGAAGGCAGTTTATTGTCATTCCGCTCCCAAGCCTAATATTTATTTAGGATATTTCAACATTTCTTGGCCTAAATCTTTTCATGACTTCTTATAATAAACCTGTAGCATTAGTAGTAGTATTCCCCTTCTGCAGTTGGAAACAGATTGAAGGAGAATGAATTTCCCAGCTCTAACTAGAAAGTTCATTGCTAACTAGAGAATGAATCCACTTTAAATCCTGTTTCTGCCTCCTGCAGAATTCCAGGTTTGTAGTTTAGGGAGGACCCTTTAACAACCTCCCTAAACTACAAACTCCAGAATTCTTCCGGAGGCAGAAACTAAATTTTAAGAGGATTTTTTTCTCTAGTGTGATGAAGTAGTAAGTGAGATTTTTCACCAGGATCCTTTAACCCAATGGTTCTCAATCTTCCTAATGCCTCGACCCATTTAATACAGTTTCTAATGTTGTGGTGACCCCCAACTATAACATTATTTTTGCTGATACTTCATAACTGTAATTTTGCTACTGTCATGCATCATTGTGTAAATATCTGAAATGCAGAATGTATTTTTATTCACTGTACCACATTTAGCATAATTATCTGATACGTTCAAATTAGAATACTGGTGGGGTTGAGGGGGATTGTTTTTGTCATTTGGGAGTTGTAGTTTCTGGGATTTATAGTTCACCTACAATCAAAGAGCATTGATTCAAACTCCAAACGATGGAATTGAACCAAATTTGACCAACAGAAAATACTGGATGGGTTTGGTAGGCACTGACCTTGAGTTTTGGAATTGTAGTTCACCGGCATCCAGAGAGCACTGTGGACTCAAACAATTATGGATCTGGACCAAACTTGGCATGAATACTCAATATGCCCAAATGTGAACACTGGTGGAGTTTGGGGAAAATAGACCTTGACATTTGGGAGTTGTAGTTGCTGGGCTTCACCTACAATCAAGAGCCCCCGGTGGCGCAGTGGGTTAAAGCCCTGTGCCAGCAGGATTGAAGACTGACAGGTCGCAGGTTCAAATCTGGGGAGAGACGGATGAGCTCCCTCTATCAGCTCCAGCTCCTCATGTGGGGACATGAGAAAAGCCTCCCACAAGGATAATAAAACATCAAAAATTATCCGGGCGTCCCCTGGGCAATGTCCTTGCAGACGGCCAATTCTCTCACAACAGCATGCTCCTGACATGACAAAAAAAATATATGTACAATCAAAGAGCATTTTGAACCTCATCAATGATAGAATTGGGCCAAACTTCCCACACAGAATTATTTATTTTATTTATTTACACCATTTCTACCCCGCCCTTCTCACCCCCGAGGGGGGACTCAGGGCGGCTAACACAGGCAAGGGGAGCGAATTCCACAAGCGGGGGACCACCACTGAGAAGGCCCTGTCCCTCGTCCCCACCAGACACGTTTGCGACGCTGGTGGGACCAAGAGCAGGGTCTCCCCAGTAGATCTTAAATTACAAGGTGGAATGTAGAGGGAGATACGTTAGGATAAGTAAGCTGGGCCAGAGCCGTATAGGGTTTTATAGGCCAAGACCAGCACTTCTGTTGGACCATGACCAACAGAAAATACTGTTTTCTGATGGTTTTTAGTGGCCCCTCTGACACCCCTTTACGACCCCCCCCCCAGGGGTCCTGACCCCTAGGTTGAGAAACACTGCTTTAATCACTACCCTGCATTATACTATGTGGACGGATGTCCTGAATTTCACCTAGGGAGACTAATATTGGCAAGACACTATGAGCACTAAGCAGAGGGAATTTATCACAACCCCAGCCAAGACATAAAGTAAAGCTTCCCTTTATGATAGATTTAGAGGCTTTCATGTTGTCCCTTAAGCGAGAATATCTTACTCTTATGGTATGCCTTGTTCAGTGTTGCAGTTTTCCTTTTCTCAGCACCACTTCAGCCCTGCTCTTTGTTCTGCCTTTCCCCTGCTGTCTGTGTTGCAGGAGGAGAAACAGTAAATCCCAGGCGTACTTTGAAACACAGGTAATTATGATCTGCATCTGTTAGTATGATCTTGGCTCCGCTAGGTGGAAGGCATGTTGCCATTGCTGTGATAAATTTGCAGACCTGTTTTCCTGATTTCTTTTTCCCTTGATATTAAACATTCATTGCTTCTAAAAAAAATTAATCACACAATCTTAATCGTTGCCACACAAAACCCCCTAGCAAATATATCTCACTGGAATTAAATATAAAGGATTTCAGCAATTATTCAGAGGAAGCAAAATACAAGCACGGAGAAAGAAATCAAATGGCGGCTCATTTTTTTCGTCTCTCTCTCTTTCCCTGCGAGTCTACAGAGACAGGCTGCCTGTGTTTTACAGATTTATAGCAGAGAATTGCTTAACCACAGAGATGGAATCCAAGCCAAGAATATTTATATAGCAGATGAATTTCTTTCTGCGACATTACTGTCCCACCGTTTGGATACAGACAATCCTCACATTGTAGGCAACTGTCTTTCTTAGGGAAAGATGTTGCCTAACAACCCTGTTCCAGGTTAGCCATCACTGTCCCCTCCGGCTAATACAGCTGGTGAGAAGATTCATCTGCCTTTCTGTGGGTTTTGATTGTAGCAGCAGGAGAGGCAGGAGGCTGAATCTGGCTCAGCACAAATGAAATCTCCATCTTTTTGTGCTTTCTGCTTCTTGTAATGCGCAAAACCCCAAAAACTAAATTTAAAATGACAATTATAAGCTATTGGTAACTTTGATTTTTAAGGAAAACTGAAATTCTTAAGACGCTGATAGCCAACACGAGTTGGAGCTGGATTTAGGGTTCATCTTCACTGTACAATTGATGCAGTTTGACACCACTTTAACTGCTATGACACATTGCTATGGAATCTTGGGATTTGTGGTCTGGTGAGGCACTTGCACTCTTTGGTAGAGAAGGCTAAGACCTTGTAAAACTACAGGCTAAGACCTTGTGTACCTGGATTAGTCCTGGAGCAGATTAATGCCAGGCAAGGCTGATCTACCCATACAACATTTGATGGCTTCTGTGGGGCTCCTGTAGGTCTCCGTTTCCTAAGCGCATGAAAACAGAGCCTGAAGACTATCTGATAAAGTCCCTGAATTGATGTGTACCTGGGTTAGTACTGGAGCAGGGCTGATCTGTCTTAATGTCAAGCAGGCCCGTAGCCAGGATTTTGATTCGGGGGGGGGGGGGGGGCTGAGCTTGATTGGGGGGGTGAGGCTGAGTGAAAGAGGTCTACCCTAGCAAACCTTTTGTATCATTACCCCAATACCCCCATGCATATGGGATATATTGGTGATCAGATCATGATATGAATAAACATAACAGTTTAAATAATGAACCAGAAAGGCCTTCTCGTGGACCACCCTGAGAATTCCGGGGTGGGGGGCAGAAGCCCCTCAAGCCCCCCCCCTTCCGGGCCACATGCCTGCACATCAAAGGGGAGACAACACACCTCCCCTATCCCCCCCCCCCCCGTGTCATGACTATCCCCAACCATGACACACCACCTAATTTCTTCTCAGAATGCCTGTGTGTTGAGTGAGATAAGAAGGTGTGTGTGTGGGGGGGGGACTTTCCTCACTCACAGCTCCCTTAGCACAACATTATTCTGACTGATGTCAGCCAGAGATTCTGAGAACAAAGTAGGCAGTGTGTTGTGGTTGGGACAACCAAGGGGGAGGGGTAGAGTTCCTGCCCTGTTGGGCAGTAGAGACTCCTTCCGACCTTCAAGGCAGCTGAAGGGGACCCCATAAAGACACTGGATTGGGGGCCACATGATCTTCCAGTGTAGAAGGGCCATCGGTTACAAATTATAATACAAAACACCAATCAAGATAAAAAAATTCAGACAATTGAAAAGCAAAAAACATACCTCCACATTATTGCCTGAAAACAATATAGATCAGTTGAAAATATTTACTGGAGTCAGAATAATAGTTAATCAGAAAAGTCCATTGAAGGATGACCTTTGAATTTCATCCAAACAGACCTCTCCAGGAGTCCCTGTGAGACGTCGCTGGAGTCTGCTTGCATGTTTGATCTGACAAGTTTATTTTTCTAGTAAGGCCAAGAAAATTCCAGATTTTACAGTGCCATAAATCTATTCTGAAGTTCCTTTCCCTTGCTGGCAACCTCATGTCTGGCTGCCAGCAAAAGGAAGGAAATAAGTCATTTGATGCTTTAAAGATATTTCATAGGGCTGCTAGACCTTGGTCTAATATCCCTGTTCAGTTTGTAACTCTTTCAGTGTCATTTTGTACAACTAGCCAAAACCTTTCTGATATGAGTCTCCCAAGGATGAAGTCAGGGCATTTCCCCTTAAATGGCCTCATGACATAAGATCCTACTATGAAGGCTGTGAAGCTGTGGAAACAGGTTTAGCAAGAATATGGCAGCTGATCCGAGGGTCAGTGTTCAGGTCTTGGGACCCTTTGGAAGGCACAAGGACTTGTAAAAAAGCAAAAACATGGAAGTGGCTAGAAGTGGACTTCTGGTTTTGAAAAACTGTTGAGAAGGTTGTGCTGCTTTGATTTTCCTTTTGTTTTTATGTTGAACAGTGCAAGGCCCCTTATCACACCTACAAAAGGTGAATTGCTCCTCTTGAAGGCATTCAGAAGAGGTAATTCAGAAAAAAAGCAATCTGAAGTACAAAAAGACAAAATATGTCCACACTTTACTTATTTTTAATATTGAATAACATACCATTTTGTTTTGGGTTGGGTTTTGTTTTTTGTTGTTGTTTTTTTGACAGAGGACAAAAATGAAATCCAGGAATATCCTACAGGATATACTGTATATACCGATGTATAAATAGAAATTTCAGCAAAAATAAAAATCCCAGAAAACATGGGTCACCTTATTCACAAGCCAGTTTAAGTACAGTACCTTAACTCTTATGAAAAATGGAACCATCTTCTCTGAGTAGAGTGTCAAAAGATGAGAGCTTGGCAGTGCTTCTGGCCTTTCTGAATGCCTGGACAGAGAAATGGCAACAGTGGCCAGGGACAGCTGGCTTTCTGAGGTGGCATTGGTGTTTTCTCTGTAGATGACCCTCAACTTATCCACGGGTCATGTCAAAAACCATATTTTTGGTCATAAAACCTGCTCTTAACTACCACATGAAGAACTTCTCATGAGTATATATGACAAATGTATACAAAAATAGAGCCCCTGCAAAGATAATCAGAGATTCCCATGCTCCAAACTTGATGTGTTTGGATGCTGTTCCTTGAAGCAGAAAGTCTGAAAAGCTCTGTGATGTGCAGCATGTCGGATTCAGACATCAAATGTTATTAGATGTCAAATACAGATACAGAGAAGCATTCAGAGAAGATACGTGGGCCCTTTCTACACTGCTATAAAATCCAGATTATCAAAGCAGATAATCTGATTTGAACTGGATTATTTGAGTCTAAACTGCCAGGTCTGGATAAAATAGTTAAGAGTAGAGACATCACATGAAGATGTCTCTACATTGAAGATCCACATAGTTAAAGCAAAGGTATTTCCCATAGTAACAAAGATCAGCAGTTAAAGCAATGGTATTCCCCATAGTAATTTATGGATGCAAGAGCTGGACTATAAGGAAGGCTGAGTGAAGGAAGATAGACACTTTTTAACTGTGGTGCTGGAAGAAAATTCTGAGAGTGCCTTGGACTGCAAGAAGATCAAACTCCAGGAAATAATGCCTGACTACTCACTGGAGGGAAGGATATTAGAGGCAAAAATGAAGTACTTTGGCCACATCACGAGAAGACAGGAAAGCTTAGAGAAGACAATGATGCTGGGGAAAATGGAGGAAAAAGAAGAGGAGCCAACCAAGGGCAAGATGGATGGATGGTATCCTTGGAGTTACTGGCTTGACCTTAAAAAGCTGGGGGTGGCCACAGATGATATGGGCTGGCCCATTAGGTCAAGAAGAGTCAGAAGCGACTGAACGAACCAACAACAACAATACTGCTAGATAATCCTGTTCAAAGTAGTGTAGAAGGGGTCTAAAAGATACTATATTTCAAAATAGAACTGGAAATGGAGAATTTACAGTGAATAATTTGTTTTGTTTTGTTTGTTTCTTTCTTTGTTATTATAATAGCTGCAATCTGCTTCAGGTTCTTTATGGGAGGAAATTAAAAGTGTTTTTTTTAAAAAAAAAAAATCCAGCATATCTGCAAGGTACTTGGTTGGGGAGAACTACTCCAGCCTACACTCCCATTTGTAGGTTACTATTGCTCATTCCATCTCTTTGTGACCAAGATCTTCTGATTTCCTGTCTCCTCACATTTCCACAGAGAGACTGGGGCTCTCCTCTTTCCCACCACATTACCCTAACATCGGCCCCATTTCCCCCTCTCATTTCTGAGACTTCATAATGAATAATGGCCGTGGGAAGACGCAAGATGAGATTTCATCTATTTCACAGCATAGTTTAGCTTGCACGGTAAGGATAAACTATCTGATCCCTGGTCCCTCTGCGATGGCTTGACCTTTGTGCTAATTTGATTGATTATTTTAAGTGCATTACACTATGCTTAGCCATGTTGACCGTAGCAGGGCTGTATGCTAATGATTTATGGGAGACATCTGGGATTCCATGAGGCAGCATACAGATTATGTCACTGCTATCCGAGAAGGCTCCATTGATCCACCCCATTCCCCAGCAACGAATCGGAGTGTCAAATTCCAGTAAGCCCCAAATTCACCCACCCTAACTTAACAGGTGGCTAGGACCATTCTGGAGCTGACCATATCCTATACACTAGGAATCATATCAAAAACAGCTGAAATGCTTTGTTCCTCATCTTCCACCATCTGAGGCTCTCGATATTGTATTCCTAACTCATAGCAGAGGGGAGATAGTGATCTTTGCCACCTGCCTAAGACCAAATGCCTGGTCATCCGTGCTGATGCTGCCGCCACTGCCATTCCGACATATATGTCAAAGGTCTGATCCTACACTGTAAAACAAACATGTAAAATAAAACTCGGTGTTTTAAAGAGTATCT